TTTGCTTAGTTTTTTACTCTTTATTCTAGCCGGCAGGCGGTTAATTCTGATTACTAGAATATAAATATGACACTAACCATTTTAATTTATTCCTTATGGAGTATTTTGATTGCTTAAGTTCCCACACCTAATGAGTTATTCCATCTACCGCCATCAAAAAGTAAACTGTATACATCTAGTAAGATAGTGTAGAAATATAGCACGAAGGAGCTGTGATTAAAACACTAAATAATAAAAAAATCTAAGAATAACTATATAAGAACTCAGATATAGTCTAGTGAATGTTGTATAAAATGTATTGGTATTAATATAAGCTAATCATGCTATGGGCATTACGATGTGAGTTGCCCCAGAAGGTTGTATACAGAAGGATATATCTATGATAAATAAATCTTGTATTTACGTTTAATAATACACATAGTATATTATCTATCAAACAACAAATATGTTATTGTCAATTTAAATTTTAAGTAAAATAATAATAAATATACATATATTATAAAAAACTTTTTATAACTAGTATTACCTAAGTATAGCTAAACAATCTTGGAATGATGAACTCTCCTGTCAGATCTGAAAATCGACGTGGTTCAATTTAGATCTAACAATTACAATTAGTTGGTTCAACTAAAGCGTAACTTACTCAGCCATACGGTATCTGGTAGGCTGCTGTATGTTAAGAAGGCATTTTGTGAGGTTTTGCCCCTAATGACTTTTGTCAAAGATCTGACTCTGCGGATGAGAAGGAAACTTTTCTTCACCACATATTTCAGTATCTATCGCTGTCTAGGAGGATATATCAAATAGTCGATGACTCTTTACTTAGCGTCGTGATAGAGCTGTCATTCTACAAATTAAGAGAATTGGCCAAGTTAATAGACCTGTCAGGTAACTTGAATAGACTTGAATAGTGCATCGTGCCTTGGAGCGTTATTCATAGCTTGACCACTACGGTCCTTGCAGCCTACATATTACCAACTCTTATTCATGGTACTACAACGAGTCATTATTTGAGTTCAGTAGGCTTTGGGCACAAAGACGGTATACTAAATTGCTGATTTTTATTCCAGCAAGGGATGACAGAAGTACTTTACTAAGCAAGGTAGAGATAGAAACTTTATTTTAACGAATATGAATTAGTACAATAACGTTAATATTTCCAATGTCTTTTTGGCTGATTTTAAATAAACCAAATATGGGTTTTGTACATTTTATTGAATTTTGAATTATTGTTCAGTTTTTATTCATTCTCTTTTCTTAAAATTAATATAAAAACACATTCGAGATTTTTCCAGGATTTTTAGTATGACTTCCACAACTGTTTTGTCTCAGTTATTCGAATTGACCATAATTTTAATAGAACTAGATTAACGGAGTTTAACTGTATATATAATTTTCAATCTAGTAGAAAAGGTTATTTCTCAAAACGATGTTTTTTATTTTTATATTAATTATTTTAAATTTAGTTAATGATAAATATGATTTAAATTGTGACAACAGAGATTATTTTCCTTAATACAAACTAATGTATTAATTAATATGAAGGTGCCAAAGAGTAGTGAATTACAACAATAAAATTTTTATTATTTTAATTAGTTGAATTTTTAGCTAACCGTACAGTTGTTTCGAGCATTGTTTAAAACCCATCATCAGTGGTCTTAGAATTATTTGTTATATTTAATTATTCGTAAATTGTTCGTTTCTTTTGCATAAACATTATTTTGTTTATAGATGTATTTAAATACATCTATAAAAATGTATTCAAATCCCAATATATATGTAATTACTTGTTATGTATATAAAATATATATCACATAAATTAAATACTTTGAAGTTTTTATGACTCGTTAACTTTCAAAAAGTTTAATTAGAATTTGTTGTCTTTTCGCAATAAGCACAAATACCAGAATTTGTGGTTTTAATACAACATTCAGAGGTTTGAATTTATTTCCTTTATAATATTCAACAAAACCAAATTTCTATTTTAATTTAAAAACTTCAATTTAAATTCCATGACAAAATAAACCAAAAAAAAAAATGCTTCAAATTTTAAATTTTTATGAAATTCTAAAAAAAATAAATTCCATATTTACGTTATAATTATCATCATATCAGTATAAATTGAAGTAAAAGCATAGCTACTCGTATATCTCTAAGGAGATTCATTAAGTAAAACTATATCTCACGTTATTTTAATTGCCTTTGTTAAGGACCTGACCTTCAACTATTGGATATCAGCTTCAACATCTTATATATATTGCTTTCACCGACGTCCTAACTTCCTACCACCGATGCAATATCAAATATTTCATTCGTATCATTTATTACTTATTCCTACTATGTGTCCTATTCTTTGTGATTTGATAAAATATATATTTTGATGTTCTTCTAATGTGTACAACACCTGATGCTGGATGTACCATCCTCCAGACAAACGGGTTTAAACATAACCAAATAACTGATTATAGTAATGTTTATATATATATTTTTATATAATAATATCTTCTAAATTAAAATTATATATATATATATTTATGATTATCAACACAATGGGCTAAATCGACTTTTAGGATCAACAGGAAAACCTTATAATTATTACACATTAACAAGGAGTGTATCTGATGGTAACATTATCCAACGTATTTAAAAAAAAAATTTTGTGACGATTGTTCTCGTTTTAAATAAACTGCAATTATACGAAAATATTACATCTCAGATGTTCAGAAAAGATCAAAGCACACCAGATTAATACAAATGAATAGTTAACATAATAACAGATTCATTTGATAAAAACTTTAATTGCACACTGGTATTTCTCATCAGCCAATACTCCTTTGTAAGAGTTCTGCATTCTAGTATTACATTAGACACCTAGACACCAAGATTAGACACCTATTAAAGAAGAGACACCTATTAAATTATCTAAATTCGACTGGATGGATTTAGCCTCTATTATGCATTATCTATCTATTAGGGTTTCTTGCGAGGAATGTAGTAGCAAAAGGCGAAAAATCGCTAACTGAAGTACATGTACATTGTCTAATGGTCTGCCACTACAACCGACCAAACAATAACCTCAGCATCGTCAAATTTTCTAAATAATCTTAAGAACGTCAGAATTTTACAGTGTCAGTCTGTAAGATATTTGGGGACACATTTTAAACTGATACTTAAAGTCCAGGTAAGATTTTGGAATAACTTTACAAAAAATAACAATATAAAGTGGAGAACCTATTTGGTGATTGTTTTTATTTAAAAAAATTTAAAACATAAACATTAATAAAAGGTCTTGTACGAGTACCAACTTTCTGTGACATCTAATGTTATATTTAGACTATTGTACTTAACTTGATTAATATGCAGTAATGTGTGCTATTTTTCATACAACATCGATACAAAATCCATACAAAAATATGTTAAAGAGACTTCGATAAGTTTAAGTGTAAACATAGTATTAGAAACGTAGTTTGTACTGAAATTAATTAAATTTTCTTTTTACCTTGCATATTTTTATCTAGATATTTTACTCACTCATTTTACTTTGTTTTGCCAAAAACTTTGCATATTTTTCTATTGTACTTGAGGCTTTTGTAGTAGCGATTAATTGAATTTGTTAAAAGTTCTTAAATGTTCTGCTGTCAAAGTTAATCTAGTAGCCTTGTTCGCATTTAGTCGAGTCCTTTTGTATTTTCCTTATCTGAATGGGTTTTTTTTTGTCAACTTAATTACCGTCTTCAGGAAACTTGTGCTCTGAAGTTCAGTCAATTTTTACTGTACACATTCCGAGTACTTCCATTAAACACAGAAACTATGCAAAACCTTTTAACTTTTCGCCAAGTTGTTTTAACTTGACTCGAGCGCGAAGTTATGAACAACAATTTTCATTCCATCAGCTTTGTAAGTTGCTCCGAACAAAACAATTTCAGCTGTCAGGTTTTCTTGAAAAAGTAGGCACATCAAAATATTTAATAGTTTTTATATTTAAGTCAAGTAAAACAATATTAAGAGAAAATAAGTATTTATACAAGTATATTGTTTTAAATTCTAACCCTTTGATTATAGATATTCAATAGGAATTATGCAGAATGTGTTCTTTACTGATTAGTTCGCAATTCCTTAAAATACCACTTCACATTATTTAATTACTATTGGATTTTAGTCTTCATTTCCGTACACAAACTACTGACACAGACGAAGATTACATTAATTTACTCGACAAACATACAGCCAACTTCATGTACCAACTTGTGCCAAAATGTGTAAATTTTTATACAAAATCCATACAAAAAAGTACAAAAAAAGTTTAATCATTTCAAATGTATTGTTAAAAATTTATGTAATCTTTATTAAATAATAAAAATAACTAAAAGTAAATGTTAAACTTTATCATCTTACTAAATACTAAAGTACTCTCAATAAATATTTTTGCATGAAATCGTAAATCTACAGCAAGGGTAATGACGTTGTGTATGAGTAACTAAACTAATTTAAATGAAATTTAAATTTTATTTAGTTTTTTTATTATTTTCACAGAAATCAGCATTAATAAATCACTAATTAATCAATCACTAATTAATCAACCACTAAAATTATTCTGAAATAATTATTCTAATTCTAATAATAGTAAATGACATGGGCATACGCAAACACCCGTAATTAAAATGAATACAAATGATTATAAGTAAAGTTAAATAAGCGCCTTATGAGAAAGTTTTATTCCATTTGTTTAAATTCTTCATTAAAAAAACATTAATTTTAATTGCTTTTAAGAAGATGTGAATGTAAATAAAATTTTTTTCCTTCGAGGTGCCCTTTAACATATATTTGAAATACTAATATTACTATTCTCTTACATCAGTGAATTATGTGATTTGTAAGAAATGCCTTATCAGTAATGCTTCTATAGGGAACAATCAATTTTATTTTTTGTTTTTTTTTAATTTAATCAAATAATCAAATAAATTTCAAAAATGATCGGTTTTAAGCTCATCGAAGCTAAAAAATTGCATAGTACTATAGTTGAACTCAAATAGTTAACATTATGAGCAAACCTTTAGGAAGAATAATTAAAATTTTATATGCTTTGATATTTGGGATCTATTTATTAGAGATTGGTACAGCATATTTCTTAACAACAGTAAGTTTAAAAACATTTATAATTAAAAATTAATAAAGTTAATAATATTATTAAAAAATGTTCATTTATTTTGTCTGATCAACTTTGAATTGCATAGATTAAATGGTAATATTTATTATTATTATAAAATATTAATTATAATAAAAGTGATTTTATTTAGTATTAAAACACACTGCCCAAAACATCCCACAAACTGTTATGAAGCCACACGAAATACAGGTAAAAGTGATGTTTATACGCTTGACATAGAGGGCAAATCCTTTCTAGCTTACTGTGAGGCAGATGTCAACGGCGATGGCTGGCTTGTGATACAGCGTAGACAAGATGGCACAATAGATTTTAATCGTAATTGGGCAAATTATCAATCAGGTTTTGGGAATATTTACGGCGAGTTTTTCTTTGGTCTTAATCAGTTACATACATTAACCAATAAAACCCCACATGAGCTCATGATTGTCACGCGACTATTTGACTCCACTGTACTCCATATAAAATATGATAACTTTTTGATTGGTAGTGAGATTGAAGGATACAGCTTGAAAAAACTTGGTTTGTCTTCTGGAAATGCTACAACTTTTCTAGGCTGGAAGGAAGGCTGGAAATTTTGGACTAAGGATAGGTATAATAATTCTCCATGCAATGAACATTTTAGTGCAGTTATAAGTGGAGGATGGTGGACTAATTGTGAGATCATTTGGTGAGTATGAAAAGTTATACCGGAATATTAAAAATAAAGATAATGATTTTATATCCAGGGACTTTTATGTGAGAAAAGCGAAATCAATGGATCTCTCACAAGTATTTTACAAGTAAGTCAGAATCAAAATATTTAAAGTGATTTGTCAAGTTTTCTCTCATATTTAATCATAATTAATTAACCTTTTTTAACATTTATCATCTGCAGTCATATAAGTCTATTTTTGTTGTCTAATGGGCTTAAGAGTAATAGAACTGATCTAATTTCAGAAACCAATAACACAACAAACGATGACACTAATGAGAAATGCCATAAAAATTATCTATATAACATTAACTTAAACTAATTGGAGTGAGGGTTCAAGTGACTACCTCCCTATTTCCTATTCTTTAGAATTACTTTTAACTGATTAAATGCTTATTGTGCTTCCTATAAAAAAAATAACGTTAATAATCTTAAAGAAAGAATCCACTAAGGTTTGAAAATTGTACTTCGTTCTTATTCTTCAAAGTTTAAGAGCGTCTGGTATCCAATGCAAGTGTTGTCTCATTTCCTTCAATATTTTTATGTCCAGGAACCCAGCAAAAAGATACCTAGTGATGTTCGATGTTCATTGCTGAGGTGTGACATTTTATTACAATTCTCGATTTCACTGTTTTTCATCCAATTGGCTTCATTGTTGCCCGACTGTTTCCAAATATAGTGATGTTTTAAGGATTTATGTTTTAGCTTGTACTCGTATTTACCTTTATTTTTCGATTGCCTACGTTATATCTCAACCTTTAATGAACTTTAATGAATGAAAGTTTCACAACAATTTTATTTAAAAAACCTGGAAGAATTTAAACAAATAAAATTGATAAATAAATTAACTCGAAATTGAACCAAAATAACTGATATTTTTGCCTAAGCGAAAACCGGAACTGAATTGATATAATTGGTAAATATTTAATATAGAACCGGGACCAAAGATTTATACATGAATAATTCAAATTCTTTATAGGCGTAGTTTTTTATATATTCAACAGATCAATGAATAAGTAAAAATGATCTTATTGTTTTTCAAAGACTTCCCCATAATGATCAATATATCGATTCGATTGAACAAATTTCCGATACAATCTTGCCACTGTAAAGTTGGTATCTCCAAAATGAGGGTTTTGAATGTTACAACGGCCTGTTCAGGCATATAAAAACACTTTTTTTCTTATTTGTTTGGGAACAAGGAAGTCATTAGGTGCCAAGTAGAGACTATAAGGAGGATAAACTATCAATTCGATGTTATGAGTGCTCAAAAATTGTTCTGTGTAAGCTAATATGTGGGAACTCAAATTGTAGTGGTTGAGGATGTTCATCTTTCAACGGTTGGTTTGTCTCAATACTTTGAAGACTTCCGTCAAACAAATGGTTGTGCACCACTCAAAATTGACCATTCTTTATTGATCAAGTAGTACAGTTGCGACATAACAGGATTTTCTGAAAAAATATATATCCATTTGCTTGAATTTACTCTGTCCACGGACAACTTTTGTCAGGTTCTGCTCATTTTGGAAAACAAAAATACTAGATTGCTCTTTTGTTTCGGATTCATAAGAGTAGATCCACAATTCGTCACCTGTCACGATGTCCTAGACGTGTTTTAAGCTATCTTGGTCGTTCTTTGTCAGCATCTCCTTGCATCAATCTCACACGTGTCTCCTTTTGAACGATTGTCAAATTATAGGGAATGCAGCGGGAACAAATCTCTCTGACAGCTAATGATTTATATAAAATTGAATGTATGTAGCATACCAATCCTTCTCAATTATATCTCGTGCTACTTCGATATTTTCTGGTACAAGAGCCACGAAACTTTCACGAAATTCATCGTAGAGAAAACGATGACTTCGCTGGAATTCATTGAACCAGCGTTTTACAGTCGTTGAAAGTGATGTATTATCACTAAATGTCCCACTAAGTTGATCTTCTTATGATTAATCCGAGTGCGAAATCATAAAAAGTCTTCCCAGGAATATGTTCATTATTTAATTAAATTTTTTCACAGAGACAATTTAGAATCGAACAGAAATGTTAAAATTTATCTGGCAATACTTATTGTAGCCTAGACACATGACTGAAAAGGTAGTCTACGTATATTTACATATTCTCATTATTTCTAATATATTTTTAATTTTTATTTGTAGTGACTATATTTTTTTTACGTATTTATTTAGTTTTGTTAACTACTTTATATTAAAAAATTATTTTGATACTATTTAATTTCTTTTATCTACTTTAGCTTCGGCATTACTAACTTAAATGACATTTACAATGATAAAGAGTACATAAACGTGCCAGATAATTTCCATTTTTTCGATAAAATGAATATTAGATTTGTGCAGATGATGATCCGTCCCACAGGATTTTAATCAACAACTGCGACTTTTTGTAATACTAATTTGTAATAAAAAATTTTAATCAAATAAAAATTTTAATAAATATAAATAAACGTGAATAAACAATTAAAAAAATTGTTCGTATTTGCCGTCACCAAAACCCTTCAATAATTGCTTTGTAAACAATCTGTCGACGATTGAAAATAGTGCATTGAATATAATTACTATATTTATTAATAAGGACCAACCTAACTAATGAGGCACACCCTAATCAATTCCACAATTTTCAATTACCATTGCCTCTTGAATCCAGAAAACTTACTGGTATTTGTTAAGCGAAGTGGTTTCGCCTCACATTATTCATAAAGCAAACTTAACTTAATTAAAATTAATAAAAGTGAATATTAATATATTAAAAATTATTAACCAAATACCAACAGAAAATAAATATCAAGACTCAATTTCAACGAACAATGCACAAAGCCAACACAAATGCCAACATTTCGACGTTACAATCCATAAAACAGGAGAGATCCTCTTTGACTGCAGACTTCAATGAGATTCTGTTTTTTGACTTCAGCCTTTGGAAGCTGATTTTGCTTGAAAATTATATTGTGTTGAATGGCATAAGTTGGTTGTTCTCTGTTTCTTATTCCTTGTTCCTTATTCCTTGTTCCTTTATGGAATCATATAACAACACTGATTTCGCATTCCATGAAAATGCATTGAATTGCACTCGAATGGATGCGAAAGCACATGAAAACAAAATGTATGAAAGCTTTGTTATTTAAGTTGATATAGAATACAGGAATAAAGGCAAATGACATGGAAATAGAGGACTTGATTGAATTAAAACAAGAAACTAATATTTACCTTTGAAAAACAAGAGAACCAACAAGAAAAATAAGGAGAAGAAATTTAAATAAGAAGGCAATTGTCAAAGCTTTTATCAAAGTGTCCTTATTGTTTTCCTGCTCCAGTGAACTTTACTCCGAACTATAAGATGATTTAGCTAATTATTAGGTAAAATAGCAAAGGGAATATTTTTGTCCTAAAATTTGAGTTACATACACATGATTCCTTCAGTAGAATAATAAAAGTTTTCAATGAATAGAACTTGAAATAGGTTTCGGAATGACAGAATTTCATCATATGAGTAGACTTCTTGATTTAAGCTTTCTCAAATTTTTGCTCGACTAGACTATAATAGAAAAATTATATTTCAATAAATTTTAAAATGGTCACCTTAAAATAAACTATAGTAAATGATTTAGGTAACAATTGATCCATTTCTTCCGCTTAAACCACAAAACTCTACCCTTTGAAAATCATCCCACAAGACGTACCTCGTGTACCTCTAAATGCATTAATACTTAATACTTCACTTAACTTCCTAAAGAGCAAAAAGAATATTGTGATATTAGTCAAAAACACATACCTATTAAATTATTTAGTTAAACTAGAGACGACTCAATAATAGAGATGTTGAAAGGAGTACAAAATTCTTGAGTAAAAAACTTGCATTGTATGGAAAATGTCCAATCTTGAAGACAACTTTTCAGCAAAAAATAATTAGCAAATTTTGTTGAGTGCTAACTCAAGATTTTTATCTTTCACTCAAATGAACCTAATGGCCGAAAAACACTGAAATATACTTGTTAATGTTGTGTACGAGTACCGCTTTCTAGTTGATTTTTGAGAAATCGAGAGAAAGTCTCCAGTCACCTGGCATTTGTCAGATGACTGAAAATTTTCATCGTTTCTAGAGTACAACCAAGATCTACCTTTAGGTTTAAGGCAGTTTTGTGCTGTCATGTAGTCTAAGTTTTCACGTTGTTGTGTTTGTGTTATTTTATGTAGTAGTAGTAGTTTCATGTGTAGTAGTAGTTTTCTTGTGTAACTTTATGTAGGCTGACTGACGTGGTTCGAATGGTTACTATAATATCTAAGCGTCTCGGGGAGTAAGTGGGTCTTTGCATTTTGGTGCTACTCTCCAAGTTCGTCAGTCAATCATTCGACCTTTAAACTAAAGAGTCTGATACTGCATCTATTGACATTGATGGAGTCAGTCTCTGTTCGGAACAGTCAGGTGCTACTGTTGTCAATGTTAGTATGAAAGGGATCAGTTTACATGACCAGAAGGGTTTTCAATGCAGAAGAGGAGGTTAAAGGCTTACATGAGCCAGGGACACTCTAGGGATGTGGCCCTAGACATGGTGTCTAAACTTCCAAGTCGTGCGCCAACTAAAAGGGCTTTATCTGACGACATGGTTATGCCAGCTGGTAAGAAACCAAAGCAGAACACCTCGATTCAGTAAATCCTCTTTCAGCCAAGTAGCAAGTCAGGCCAAGGGGATCAAATTAGGATTTGTTCCTTTTGATTTGGCTAAGTGCCCAATTAGAGTGGCTCAAAACAACTAAAATGCGACTTTTAATGAGTGCACCCCCTAGGAATATGCCATTGACCAAAAAAATGATAGAGCTAAAAAGTTTTAGAGCAATAGGATAAAAAATGACGTTGCGCCACTCGAGCAAAGTTGAGTTTTCAGTACAAAAAACAGAAATTTTTCAATTCAAGGTCATTTTTTATCTTTATTACTTGTTTCAATAGTTATTAGTATATACTCATTTGATAGATAATTAAAATATCTTTTTTTTGCTCTTTTTACTGGTGAGCAAAATCGGTTAAAAATTATGCGTAAAACACAATAATTAGTTGAGCGACTGTGCTCTGTTTTCTATTTCATACCTTTTAGCTGGCATGCACAATTACGTAATAGGTATATGCTACGATTTAGATAATTATTTATAAAAAATTATAATTTCAAGAAAATTCTTTTTTTCAGTAATTAATATATTGTGTTTATTATATTTTATAACATAAATCTGACTATGTGAAGGATAATTTTTATGGTTCGACTACTTGCAGAACATATTGTTTTTCCTCTTCATATTTTGTCAAAATCGAATTATAATCCATCATAAGCCTAATTCCTCTTTCTATACAATCATTTATCATATGAAGTCTGGCACAGAATTCAAGTGCATCTCTATAATCTTGCGTCTCCATCCATGGCGAAGGATCGAAACTGATAAAACTATTAGATAGGCAAAAACGATCCAAAAAATTTTTTATTTCTTCGGTCACGAAATCAATAAGGTTCTTTGAGGAAAATAACTTCATTAGTGGGTTCCCACTCTTTATCTAACCAGAGATAGCTGAGATCTTGGATCTATGACCGGTAACTCTACAGTCACTATCTATGCATATGGCTCAAAGATGGAAGGCGGTACGGGAGCAGGTATCTTCTCGAAAGATATGCAGATAAGACAGTGCTGCCGAATCCCTGCTACTTACAGCGTCTTTCACGGCGAGATATATGCTATCGAAAAAGAGGTCAACAGTAGACAATAAAGTACAATTCGTTCTTCGAATATCACTATTTTTGTAGATAGACCACACTGAAAGCAATTGAATCTAAATTCCAAGAGAGTATTAAAATGTCGCGATTCACTGATGAGCATCAAACACCATAAGGTCTCTCTTTGCTGGACATAGTACATTTCGAATACTTGGACATAGCAATATTGAAGGGAATAAACTAGCAGATGAGATGGCCAGAAGAGGTTCTGAACTGCATACAGGAGAGGCCGACCTCTCAATACATACA